GAGAGACCAGTGGAAATTGGATTTTCTGGAATCATCCAGATTTTTTTTTCCAATGAATGGGAAGGAATGTTGCTCCAATATGGATTTTGGATACAGGGCAGCAACTTTAGAAGAAAACAAAAGAAAAAAAAAAAGTTGGATTGTGGGAAGAATCATGGGGGATCTTCCAGATATTTTTCTCTTCATGGATGGGAAGTAACATTTTTTTTTTTTTTTCCATGGATAACTTCAATATGGATTTTGGATATAGGGCAACAACTTTTGGTCCAGAAGACAAAAAAAAAAAAAAAAAAGAAAAAAGGCAGGAGACCTAAAAATTGCTGGATTTTGGGAATAATCATAGGGGATTTTCTAGTATCATCCAGATTTCTTTTTTTTCTTCATGGATGGAAAGGAATTTTTTTTTTTTCCATGGATAACTTCAATATGGATTTTGGATATGGGGCAGTAACTTTTGGTCCAGAAGACCAAAAAAAAAAAAAAAATAGAAAAAAAAAGGCAGGAGACCCCAAAATTGCTGGATTTAGGGAATAATCATGGGGGATTTTGTGAGATCATCCAGATTTTATTTTTTTTTACATGGATGGGAAGGAATGTTGTTCCAATATGGATTTTGGATATAGGGCAGCAACTTTCGGTCCAGAAGTCCAAAAAAAATCAAGAGACCTAAAAATTGCTGGATTGTGGGAAGAATCATGGGGGATTTTTTATTTTTTACACAGTTGGAAAGGAATGTTGCTCCAATATGGATTTTGGATATGGGGCAGTAACTTTTTGTCCAGAAGAACAAAAAAAAAAAAATAGAAAAAAAAAAGGCAGGAGACCCCAAAATTGCTGGATTTAGGGAATAATGATGGGATTTAAAGGATCAAAGAACAGGCAGAGCATGGACGATCCCATGGGATAACCCCAGAGCATTCCTTACCTGTGGATCCCGAATAATTTCCCTCCAGTAATGACACACCAGGCTCAGGTTCTGGTACAAATCCAGCACTGGCAGGAAGGCAAAAATATTCCTGAGGATTTCAGCAGGAAGATCATCCATGGATCCCTGAGGAATCTCCCAGTTGCGAGTGCCCAGGAGGCCAAAGTGGGGATCTGGAAGAGGTTCCACTTCCAGCTCTTGCCATTCCTGCTTGATCTCACTCCTTTTGGGAATTTTCTCCTCAGTTTCTTCCCCCAAAAGCTTCTCTGGGTTGGGAATTGTGGAGGTTGTAGCAGCTGGAAAAATTCTTTTCCTGGAATGTTCTGGTACAAAGTGTTGGGAATGGAGGGAAAGGGAGGAGGTGGTGCCGAGGGAATGGTGAAATGCAGGGGGAAAAAAAGGATCCCGAGGTTGTTCTTCCTTCATGGCACAGCTCTGCAGCCCTGCAGGGCCCAGCTGGGGGGGCCTGGGCACCCCAAAGAAATCCAGAATGTTCCTCTGCTGGCCTGGGGGACAC